GTGTCCCGGTTTGGGGACGGCGCGTTGCCCGTTCCCCGACGCCGGCGGGTGTAGCGGTCAGGGCTGGAAGCATCCACTGGCTTTGGGTTAGGAAACCTAGAAACCGCCGAGATTCGAGGTAGGAAAACCCAGCACGGGCTTTACCGACGCAGCGTCTGGTTTTGGGGGCAGAAAAGGCTCCATCCCTGTGTTTTTAGGGGAAAGATCGCGTGGTTTTTCCTTTGACAAGCGGAAATTCTTGAGAAAAACAACATCTTTCTGAAATTGTTGTTGTGGAGAGGGGAATCATTTTGAAAGTGGCTCCGTGTAGGTCTGTGACATCATGTGAGGAAGATTATTCGCCAGGTTAATTTTAATTTGGGGCAGGCTTGATTTTGGCACTTGGGAATCTTCTCTATTCCTTTGGCTTTTAACGGGAAGGCTTGGAAAGCTACAAAAAGCGTTGCCTTCCGTTTGCCTCGATGCCGTTTGACCTGTCGTGGATTGGAGCGTAAAAACACGCGTTTCAACATAAAGACGACAGGGGAAGAGCCGTAAACGGGAGAGAACGCTGGGGATTCTACCCAAAACTCGACCCTAACTTGGCCTTTTTCACCCTCGTTCCGAACCTCAGCGTGACGTTGTCGCTGGAGGCGAAGCTGCACTTGCTGCACAGCTACATGAATGTGAAATGGATCACGTTGCCTTGTGACACGCAGGTAAAGAGGAGTATTTGCTTTTTTCCTTCCTTATCTAAACCTCCTGCCCGCGGCGGCCCCGGAGGCGGCGGCTGGCTTCCCCTCCCCTTCTCCCGAGGTTGTCCGCGCCTCCGGAACTCAGGGCTGACGCCGCTCTGAGCGGAGAAACGACTCAATTTCCTGCCTGGATTTTTCTTCCGGGAGCGTGGCGTTGCCGCTCTGGGCGCCGTGGGGCAGGCTCTGGTGTTGGCGCCTGGCAGCGGAGCCGCCGACGCTTGCTCCTGCCCGAACGGTTGGTCGCGGCTGCCAGGAGCTGCCTGGAGAGACACCGTCAGACTGTGGTTTCTCCTGCGACCTTCCCTGGGCAGGAAAACTCCCCGCCCGCTTCCCAAATCTCCGGGTCGGTGCGTTGCCAGCGGGTGGCAGCTGCCTTGGCAGCGGGATGGGGTGTTTTTTCCCTCCCCTTTTAAGGAGAACACTCCCCCAGGCTTAAGCAGGAGCTGTCTGGGTGTGTCTGAAGCTGGAGTGGGTGACGTTTGGGTTGGGAAAGGCCTTTAGGATCATCCACTCCAACCGTTAACCCGACACGGGCCAAGCCCACCGCTGACCCGCGTCCCTCGGCGCCTCGTCAAACCGTCGTTGTCCCTCGTCATGCCGTGACCCCGGGGAAAAGGGGGTCCCAGCCGTGCCCCCCACGCACGT